CGGGGCAACATATGGTAGCCTACTTCTATTGAGACAGTCGATGCCCAATACTGCAAGGGGGGGGTACGAACAGGGAAGTCGGCCTGAGGGCGTGCAAGAGAGTACACACGCAATGTAGGTTATGAACACCATGAGCTCATCACGAATTGACGAATCCTTGGGCTTTGTAGATCTATGCATAGGACCATGCAAACCTGAATGTAGTCTAAACTATTAAATATACCATGCATGTTATGCAGCATGGTGTGTGAGTTTGCACAAGCGGTATTTTGGAACAGACACACAAAACCTTCTGCGCCAAATGCGGAGTAAATTGTACATGTCCGTAGTCTCCATGCCATAGTCGAAGGTTCATTGTACAATTACCACCCGTCGAGCAGACCTCCTTGTACACACCTAAAACATCCCGAACATCTGACACGTCGAAAACCTTCGAAACATGACCAAATCCGTAAACAAACGCAGAAATGAGCGCATGCAGTAATGCATGGCACATGACGCGTACAGAGTGTATGAGTCGAGTGCGCGGGTATCTGTCTCTCTTTATTCCAGGGGGGGGGGGCGTTCTCGACACCTTACGAGAGAGCGATCACCTCTTACTGACCGAGGGTGGGGCATTAGCCCTGCCGACGGATGGGATCAAGACAACTTACCTTGATACATATACAGCCGCGGACTCGGTAAACCCACCTGGACCGTAAGGAGTCGACTAGTAGGTTCTTCGATATCGCTACCGAAAGTCCCCCTTTCAGCTCTCGGAAACTGCGAAGGGTTAACACTGCTAGACATGTCCTGGAACTCTCGAAGATCCTGACCTTGCACACGTAGTCCATGCGTGGACGTGGAGCACACACAGTGGAGTGCACTTGGTGAAGCTTGTGATGCACTCGGCGAAGCTGAATCGTCAGGTGTTGTGCCGCCAACCAACCGGCAGATGTTGCGCCGACGAGGACAAAACAGGGAGTGTGCTGCGTCATAGAGAACCTCGACTGTCGACAGAGCTGTCAAGCAGGTCCGGCGTCCTGGTGCTACCCTTCTGACCGGCGCCACTAGAATATTTTGTGGCAAGACCTTGCGCATCCAATACCTAGTAGGCGTCACTGAAATTTAACAGAAAATACTGTACGTCAGACACAACCCTTGGTTCATCCCTCTTGACGCATTGTGATCAGACCCAATCGTGTTATAGCAGTTTAGCCCGTCTAGCTTCTTCTCTATCTGGATTTCGGACGACGTGTGGTGAAAAAATCGAGGGCCGCGGTTTAAGGGTGTTCTTCAACGACGCCGTCGCGGCTACAGCTTTTGCTGGTTGTGGGTCGGGTACCAAGTGCCCATGGGCGAACCGAGGATAAGTCTATTCAAAGCCAGGGACACCGAGGACGTCATGTCGCTTGCGCGGTGTCTCCGAAGGTGCAAGCCAACTCCCGACCTGAGTTACACGGCGGCATCACTTCTCAGCAAGGTGCGTGTCCCTGTATGCTCTGACGTGCAACGTTCAAAATCTATGCGGAGTCTGACGCATGGCCATAGGGATCCGTGCCAGGCGGCAGAGTTGGCACACAAAATCATCCTTTGCCTGTTGCAGTCTACACGTACATGTGGCCGTTTTTCGTGTACTGCGGTAAAGGAGACATGACGGTGTTGCAACAGTCTAGTATGACAACACCCATTATTTTTGTCAAATGCCTTGTCGATGCAGTCCGGAGCAACGTGCATCTCGGTAGGATGGGGAAGCATTGCAGCAGCAGCACATCCATCCTTGTTTGCCTGTATCTTGTTGCTTGTAGATGTCACCGTGCGACTGATGAGGAGACGTCTCTCTGCTGTTCATTGAGGGTCATATTTTTTGTTGTGGGCCCCCACGCATCCCATCAGAAGAAGGGAAAGAGCTTGCCGGGATTAATAAGACGCTCATGGCAGTCGCCTGATTGCAGATCGTGGAAACGTCTACGTAGGTATGTAGGAGATAGAGTCTTACAGATTTTTGTTACAGTCACCCAAACGGATCGGCTAGTTCAGATGGTAAGCTCGTAAGAGCTTCTGGCTCTAGGTTGTAGACCCGGATCTCTCCGGAGTAAAACCCCCCGCAGCGGTGCAGTGACAAGCGCGCCAAAAGTCGTGAGTGAAATCGGTGTACAGAACAAAGAACGAGGGAAGGCAATACATGCTTAACCCACGAAACGTGAACGCAAGCAGCACAGGAGGAAACAAATGTAGAGAGAGTGACACCACATGAGGAAAAGCAGAAAGAGAGAATGAATCGCGGGATTACGTCCCTTCTGTCTGACCCCGACTGGTACGTCCAACATACCACGAACGGTCTTTTGACTGCGTCGGGAATCAATGGCGCACTGGTACACGTACCTAATTGTGTTAGACTAGTGTTTAACTTTATTGGGTTAATGTTAAACTGGCAGACGCTTACTGCCCGGGCCACTCGACTAGAGTCGACAGCAAGCAAAGCTCGCCTGGCGGCAGAAAAGGAAGCTGACCGGAGAGCGACTGTCGAGAAGCGTCGAAGGGAGCTGGGTCCGAAAAACTCTTCGGATTTTTTTAGCCAGACACTTCGAGACCGAGAAAAGGTACGGGAGAGCAACAGCCTTCGGGCAAAGGGACGGCGTCGGGGAACGCCAAAGCTAGCAGAGTCAGCGGCGGTGTCCCGGAGAGGAACACTGCACCCTACACAGGGGTCGTTATCGGAGATTTCGCTTCGATTTCGGTTCGGGGAAAGTGCTCACGACAATCACTCCACCCATTCATCGCTGAGCGGTTTGCTGGCTCACGGCAGCGGCGCTGGACCACCACAGCGCACGGTATGAATTGAATTGATGTGTAAGATTTCAAGGAGAAAATATTGCGTCCCTGAAACTCTCATGTGCTGACTGTGAGGAGTAGCGGGATCATCGTTGTCTCCAAGATGAGGCCGCATCAATTGAGGCCATTTTTGATCGAGCCGTGGACAATGAAAGTTCTCCCTGAAATATTCACAACACTTGTGTACGTAACCAATGATGCACTCGGTATCAATGCTGAATCCCCAGGAGCAAACCTCGACCCCCCAACCAAGGTCCAACCCGATGTCCGATTGCGTGGGCCTCGAAGATGACGACGACATCCGTGTTCTTCTCCAAAGAGCGTACTCGAGCTCCTTGAGTATCCGCTCAGAAAGCAGCGGACTCTCTGGGAAACCGAAGCCGGCGTCTGGCCAGTCATACGGCCGATCACGTTGTACGGCGGAATCACCACTTCTCCATGGCAGGCCATCCGCGGCGACTTGCAAGGGGTACGTGCGAAGGCCTCATACGGCTGGGGCGACCGCAATGGCGAGGTCATCCGACGGAAGGAAATTCAGCCCAGCCGACGTGGCTCAGCTTAGAAGGGAGATCTTGATCCGTTCGCACGGCGAGAAGTTACATCTTCACGAATATCCGACCAAGTCTTTTGAGACAACGGCGATGGGCCGGAAGGCGCGCTGTCGCACCCCGGGGGGGAAGGCCGAGGTAGGAGCATTTGGCTAAAGACGATAAGCCATGGTATAATTTTCCTGCTAGTGTTGACCTATAGCAGCTGCAATAAAATTAGTCCGGGCAAACCGTCTGCTTCAAGACTCCCAACCGCCGAGAAAAAGCTAAAAGTGCATCACTGTCGTTTGAGCTCACTCTCTTTCGATCTTGCCATTTTCCCTGCTCCCATACATCGATTACGCGAATATACTGATCCCTGGCGAAAAATACTCAGCTCATCCCTTGGATGCCAGCGAAGACAACGGACAGCCGTGGTAGGCTCCAACGATCCAGGATGCTGATGAACCAGCGGCCAGTAGTCTCAAAGCTGCATGCATGGACGTGATATGGGCGGAGAGAGATAATCGAGATGAGAGGAAACATCACGGTCCGCGACGTGCACTTTGCACGTGACGATTTGACGAACGGATGGTATGGAGTACGTGTTTTCACCACATGTTGAACCAGGCGATATATGCGACGAAAAATGAGACTTTAGCGACGTACCCAGCGTTGAGGGTTAAACCGATTCTCGCCCAGTAGACGGCTCGGGGGGTGCCAAATGTGGTCAGCATGCCAACCAATATCAGAACTCTCCACGCACGACGTGGGGTTAGATTCGAATTGACACAAGAGATTCGATCTCGAATTTTAACATGCGAATCAGTTGTTCCTGGGCGCCATGGAGACTGTTGTTGTGAAGGGGAAATCAGTTGCACTACGGTGGGTGCAGTAGACAGGAATATATGTCAGTTCGGAAGTACGCTATACGGCAGTGGCTCTACAGGCGAACATATGCCGTTGAATGGCGTCGACCGCAGTACATGGAAGGGAGCCTTTCTGATTCGTTGGGACTATTGCCCAAACTGGTGCACGCGAAGAAAATTCCATAAACCGGCCAGCCTAGCGTTGTCCAGTCCTGCCCATAGGTTGCAAGTTGCCAAACAATCGTATGCACTGAACTACAGATCACCCAACGTCGTGTCAAACGACAGGATACTCCATACAACGTACGAGAGATTCGTAGAGACATCGCACTCCCTCCGACAAGGGGTGTGGTCAAAACTCTATCAGCCAATCGCGAAGTGAAAGCCAGTGTTGAAACGACTAGATAGACAAATTTCGGGAAAATCAAAATGAGTTCTTGTTTGAGATGTGATCGTTTTTAGCAACCTCTTGCTTGTAGGAAAATGAGATTTGAACCGATGCAACATCCCCGATGGATAAGGTACAAGCATGCTGCCCGCCTCCTAATAAACACCACAGATTTCAATGATTTACGTCACGACTGTGCACACGACTAAACCTTGCACACCACCTCCGCTCGAGTTTCCGCACTTCACGTGACGAAATGGACCTTCGCCGTCGCGGCGCAAGCAGGTGTGGACAATCATCTGGTGCTGCCGTATCTTACACTGATATGTACCTTTCGGATTTCTGATGCTCTTACGTCCACGTCACATCCGAAAAAATATCTGAACAGGTGTGATTGGTTGAGCTCGTACTCCTGCTCGAATTTCCGAAGTCCTCAAGTTCGGGCATTTTCATCCGAAACTGTCTTCTTCGAATGACACGTCGGAAAATAATATTTATTCGAATTTGGCATGCACGAGCGCACCTTCCAAAGATACTTTCCCCCTACACACCCATCCCCTGCCGAGCCCCCCGGAGGAATGGTGGCCTAACGGCAGAGTTCTCAACCGTTCCAACCTTACAGTTGTCTCTGGTGCAGATGTCGACGCTCCGACAACGCAGGCCATCCCCTGCTGACCTAACTCCCGCCTAGCCTGTCTTCTATCTCGAAGCAGTCCGGCCTATCAAAAGGGTCCTCCGCTAGCATGCTTCCCACGAGAACACAATCCAGCAAATCTGCCCCCTCCTCTGGGTGCGGTGCTCTTCCTTCGCCAGACTTTACCCTTTCCACGAGCCCACCTTCCCCCGTTAAACAAACTTCGCCAAGACCCCTGGAGAGAATGTAGTGGCGCCAAAAATCGAGCATCAATACTCCAAGCGCGTACACATCCGAATGCGAGTCCACGACATCTCCCCGGCGACGTTCGGGGCTGGCATAATGGTGATGCTCTGGTGCGCCTTTGCGACAGCCAGGGGGCGTGACCTGACTCAGGTTCCCCACGCAACAACGTCCGTCTGCAGCTACCTGTGGTCATGGACGAAAACGTGGAGAGTTTAAGTGAAAATATACTGTTAGGAATCACCAGCGGACAGAGGGATGGAAGCCGCAGCAGCTGTGTCAAGAACAAGCACACGTTCACGACGTGAACCTTCGGGTGGCTGTCGCTCTTCAGAGTGTTTGTATCACCACCCACCAAATAGGTCAGCCAGGGCTTAGTGCTTGAATGTACCTGTCAGCTTGAACTCATCACTCCGAACCACCGTCCTTGGCAAAAACAATTGTGTCCATCTTGAAGAATCGTCGTAATCCAACTAAAAGCGACGTTGCTCCAAATGTGACATCCACGTTAGACAAAAGCTGTCCGAACGACCTTCCGAAGTGCGCTGAACCCCCCCCCCCCCCCC